TTTATTAAATTTTTTATTATTAACAAATTTATTAATTTTATGTATGTAAATCATTATATATATATATATATATATATATATATATATATATATATATATATATTGAAATGTTATTTAACCATCACAATAATTCATCTACGTTTTATTAAAAATTGGCATAATTAATGACTTTATTATATATATATTTATTATTAATCATTGATATTTATGAAATCAGATTTAATTATACGATTAAAATTATATATTAATATAAGATTAACTATGATGATTAAACACAAATAAAATAACATTTTAATTTATATTGAATATAAATAATTATAATAATTATGGAATAAAAAACATATTTTATTTAAAAATATATTTACCCTAAAATTAATTATAACATTAAATGGGTGTTGCATCCACCCAATTTAAGAGAAGACTAGGTAATGTCTGAAGTATAGGTATGAACATTAACATCGAAGACTTTTATAAGTTAAAAAAAGGACAAATGGTGTTCATACATGACACTGCTAGTTTTCGTCCTATAATGTTTCTTAATGCTTTTAGATATCTCACATCCCTCTTTTATGTTCCCATTCTTTCTATTAATAGAATAATCTAAATTTTCTATTACTTACTCTCTGTTCTAATCTATTTTGCACGAATCAATTATATAATATTAGATCCTGCATTATACGGAATTGTATAAACTAATCAAGTAAATGAAAGTTATGTTATTATCTATTCACATATTAATTGTATAACAACCCACTTGAAGACCTAACCTTTGACTGATGTTACAAAAACAATATACAACTTCATGCAGCAGCATACGTATATGGAGCAGCATTATTTTGAATGATCTAAGCAAGTTTCAGTTCAAAGTCAATAAAGAAGAACAAGACTTGTTTAAAAAAAAAACATGATTAGTTTTATACAATTATCCACTGCAATAACATATTATAGTACAAATCATATTGGTTGAATCTAATTTTTTGTCTTGATGGTTGTGTTACTGTGAGTTGGATAAGGAAGACACTAACCACAATAGGGCCATGCAAGGAGGCTTTGAAGAGAAAAAAAAAATATAGTGGAAGGTTGATTTGTTGGTATGTAATTGGTGGAAACGTGGGAAATTGATTTGTTGGGAGTTGTTTGACCGAGTGAGTGGGAGTGAGAAGGTGATGAAAGAATGATGATGGTAATGTTGAAGGGAAGAAGAGTGTGATGCATGATTGAGAAATAAGGAAGTGTGGACGAAGATGGTGTTAGGTTATGAGAATGAGAATGAAAATGGTTTATTGAGATTGGATATGGATGGAGAATGATTAGATGAGGTGAGTTTTTAGGGTTATGAGGGAGAAGGAGGAGGGACCCAGGCAATAATTCACGCATCTCTCTCTGCAGCTTATCATTAAAGCCTGCATGAGTTCAATTATTGCAATGATCCCAAAAGCATGACATATCTCACCCTCCTCATTTCCTCTGTGTGCCTATTTTTAATTACCACTTCTTTCCAAAACCTATCCCTCCCACGCGCATGGGACCACCTTCTTTTCATTCTCCCCCACCTTTCCATTTCACACAAATTTCAATCCCACACAAGTTTTACTTTTTTTTTTCTTCTTCTTCTGGATCATCCGTTTTATTTGTTTTACCATATTCCGTTCTCATTCTCGCAATATATATACATATATATAAATTTATTTATTTCATACATGCAAAAGATACATTTCTAATTTTTTTCAATTTTTTACATTCTATCAATTTGCTACTCTTTTAAAGGAGGAATGACTTATCGTGCACTTCATGAGATTGAACAAGGTATATAAAAGCTCAAAACCATGTTTTTACATACAAAAATGGTATTAAAAATAAAATCTTTTTAGCTGAATTTTCTAACTTTTTTTTTCCTCACATGTCACCATTTTATTCCAAATTTAAACAAATATTAACCATTGAGTCCTATAATATGCAATTAACTCTTTTAGAAACATGTTTTATTCTTTTGAAACAAAAATCTATAAAAATGGGGTTATGCTCGAATTAATATCATGATATGTTAAAAACCAGAATTTAAATATTTTGGTCGCATAGTTATATTTATTTATAAAAAATAAATTTTAATTATTTATTAATTTTGTACTTTCCTTACTCTATTAAATAGATTTTACTTTCAGTGAATAATAAATAAATAAGCCAACAACCATATATATGAAGTAAGAAATATTCTTTTATAAAAAAAAATATATATTTTTTGAAAATATTACTCCTTTCTTACGAAAGAATATTTTGAATTCACCCAAGAAGGAATTATTCAACTGGATTGTACACACCCCACCCAACCCTCATTTTAAGGAGTTGTTGTCATTGGATACCAATCTTCTTCTTCTTTTCCAAACTTTTGTTTTAACCATCCATTTTTGCATGTGGAGTTTGAAGATGCTAATGGTTGAAAAGATAATAGTGGAAATTAAAAGAACCCTAGCTTCTTCTCCTTTTGATAAACCATAAACTCATTTGCTGACTTAAACCGATGCAAAGCAAGATTGAAAGCAGAAAACTTTTATGGGAATAGTAAAACCCGGTCGGTTTGTCTCTCAAATGAATGCATTATAATAATTGAAATTAGGTCAAATTCAAATCTCGTGCTAATCATCTCATCCATTTTTATTTTTATTTTTTCTCAAATGTTTTTCTTCCCACACATCACGCTTCTTTCTAAAAACAAATCAATGAGTTTTTCTTTTTTTACTATTATTTAAGGTTTAGGGTTTACTCAAACGTGCTTTTGAGGCCAACTAGCTGGTGATACGTACAGACAGCTTAACGAACAAACAAGACCATGATATAAAACCCAAAGTGGTCCATCTTTACAATTCCAAAAAATATTATTATTTTATTTAAATTAGGATATAGCACTCTCAACAAAAAAGTTTTGACATGTTAGTGAACAAAATTTTATCATAAATGAAAGACATGAAATATTTAAGAAATAATAGGGTTTTGGGGGAGCTTGAAAAGCTTTAGGTGGAAGCTACATGCAGTGGAGGGTGGTTTCATTTGAAAGGGTGAGTGATGATTATTGAAAATGGAAAAGGGCACAAATATTTAGGGTTAATTAAGAAGCAAAGCATTGGGGAAAATGAAACCCTGAAACAGTACAGTTGAACTGTTTATACATGCCTTAATAGACATAGCCCACATGATTCTGTAATGGGTACCAAAGACAAATGATCATTCTTATCATACTGTCATGCATAATGAGAATGAGAATAAGCATGATGGTGACGATATATGAGAGGCCAACATATATACTGCCTAATCAATAAGACAACAGGAGCAGGTTTATAATCCCAGACATGTCTCTCAGATGATATATCATTTTCTTCTTGTCATCATCACCTTATTTTCTTTTTTTTCTCTTTCTCCACCCTCTTCTTCAATTTGTGGCCATTTAATGGGGTTGGTTCAGTAAAAAGAAAACCACATTCAATTAGAGGAGCCTCTCTCTTTGCTTAAACTCAGTTGACAATTGACTACACATTTTTTTGTACCACTTTTCCTGCTTCAGTACGTGCCCCAACATTACACTAGAATGGAATTTCTTTGTACCCCTTTTCTTTATACCACTTTTTGCTTAAGCATTTTATCTTGTGTTATTAAATTTTCGATAATGACAACTCTACAACCAAAAACTCTTTATCAGAAACACCATCAAAAATTCCCCTGTTTAAAAGATAGGAGTTCAAATTTTTAAAAATATATTAGGTGGTGTAATTCAAAAATTACATAAAAGACCCGTGTTGTGGTGGATTATTCTTCAAATTATTACACATTTTTTACCAACTCCTCTAATTAAAAACACTTTTAGGTTTGAATCCAAAACGGTATAAACTGAAAAATAACTAATAGAATCTCAGACGGCTTTTCTGACCACTGATTATTTTTCCTTCATTCTAGATTCTCCAAAGTTTATATCAACATTTATAAACTCCATTTGATTATATAATATAAGACAACATTCAATTTTTCAGTCTATGTTAGGTTGACAATGTAACGGAAACGACATACAAGTAAGCCTAGTTTATTAAACTAACTACTGAATTAGTACAAATATTTTTCGAATTAAAAAAGTTAAATTAATTACCTGTATAGTTTGTACAACTAGATAAATTATATTTTTAATTCTCATAAAATAACATATTTTAACTTTCATATATCATAATAATAATAATAATAAATTGATCGGATTAGAATGAACTAATAGATTTTCTTTAACAATACATATTAGCTATAAAATTAAATAGATGAATTTAATTAGATTAACTTTTGTATATTTTAATGATTAATAAATTTAACTACACAGAAACCAACTAAATAACATATAAATTGTTTTTTCATCTGCTTACTGTTTCTAAAAGTTATTAGTATGTATTTGAGCTTCTGAAACATCATATATTATATATTTATGTTTTGAACATAGTGTTGTGATTACTATTATTTATTTATTTAAAAAATACATGTAACTCATTACCTCTCTTATCTTAAACAGTGAGGAGTGTGCACAAAGCTACAAAAAAAAAAATAAATAATAAAAAAAAAAAAAAAAAAATATATATATATATATATATAAAGAGGAAAAATAAAAATTCTAGTGAATATGGGGTGGTGGGGGAAGGCATGAGAACCGTTGAATATTTAAATAGATTCACGTGCCTTTGTCAACCTGTGTTTGTCGGTCAATCTTTATTCCCACAAAGGCAAGGGAAGAAGCCAACATAAAAAGGCAGTGTTGTTGCTGTTCTTGTTGGTTCTAAGGAGAAGAAGAACAAGAACAAGTAGAAGTAGAAGTAGAAGAGGGATTCTGCAACACCAACAAACCAACCCAATGTGCCCTTTCTAACCCCCTTCTCCATTCAACAATCTACAACTACTCCCTGTCGGTACATATATAACAACAACACAAACTTCCTTCTATTGCTTCGAATTCCACACCTTTTTTCAAGCCCTTTACCATGGAACTCGCTTTGAGCTTAGGAGACACGTCCAAGCCCTTCTCTTTTCTCGACAAGCCAGCCAATTTACCCTCCAAGGATCCACCTGGCTTCTGCATAGCGCCGGGGAAAGGGTTTGAGGACAAACGATGTGATGCTGAGAAAAGGGGTTCTTCAGATCCACCAGTTCAACTTGATCTTCTTCCTTTCACTCCGGTTCTCAGATCCCAACCACCCTCTCAGCTTCGCATCCCTTGGCTCGCCGAAGCATGTAATACTCTCTCCCTTTTTATCTTTCCTTTCACACACCCAAAATCGTTCATTAATTGAATCTCACCCTTTTTCTCATATACAACAAAATACTAATATTGCATTTTTGGTTTTTATAATAGTTAGAGTGTTACATATAAAGAAAATAGTTGAAAGAGAAAATTTTACTAAAAATCGTGAATCTTGTTTCTTTGTACGAGATTATACTTTAATAAAACTGATGTGTTTTTTTATGTTGGGTATGACAGAAAACCAGTCTTTTATTTTTTTTACAGTTTGAATATTGATTGAGAAAGGTTTTTACATTTATTATGTGACCGTAATAGGAACCAGATTATGTTTATACGATGAATGGAAGCAGAAAATTTTCTTGTTTTATTTTTTCTTGTAATATTGAGAGTTGTGTTGTGTTGCCAAGGTTCGGTTTGAGATGGGAGTAATTTGTTGTGGTTGCTGACTATAGGTGGTGGCACGGCGAGGGTGTTGGATGTGAACCTTTTTCCGGTGGCGGCGGAGGACGGCGATGACGGGACGTCGCTGTCGTCGCCGAGCAGTGCGGTGTCGCCGTTTCAGATGGATTTCAGCATGAGAAACGGTAATGCAGAGGTTGGAGGAAGAAACAAGAGGGAACAACTCGAGGGTGAAGGTACCAGAGCGAGTGATGACGAAGAAAATGGCTCAACGCGGAAGAAACTCAGACTCTCCAAAGAACAATCAGCTTTTCTCGAAGAAAGCTTCAAAGAACACACCACCCTCAATCCCGTAAGTCCACACAAAACAACCTTATGTTCTTCCTGCTTTAGATAAACTAGATTACCTTATTTGATCCACCTTATTCTATAAACGGGTCCGAAATATTGTTAATCATTTATTTTGATCATAAACTTGCAGAAGCAGAAACTTGCGTTGGCTAAACAGTTGAATCTTCTTCCTCGTCAAGTGGAGGTTTGGTTTCAGAACAGAAGGGCAAGGTAAACAAAATCTACTATAAACTGGCTTCATTTACACTTTGTTCAAGTTATCATTGAACATTGTTTTGTGTTATGTTACTTTTTTGTTTTTCACATGTGTTTTGTTTGATTTGGGAATGTGATTTCAGGACAAAGTTGAAGCAAACAGAAGTGGATTGTGAGTATTTGAAGAGATGCTGTGAAACTCTAACAGAAGAGAACAGAAGGTTGCAGAAGGAGCTTCAAGAACTTAGAGCCTTGAAAACTTCTCAACCATTCTACATGCAGCTTCCAGCCACCACTCTCACCATGTGCCCCTCTTGTGAAAGGGTTGCCACAAATTCCACCACAACTAACCAAACTTCTTCCACTATCAACAATAATGGTTCTCAAATCCCTGTCGATTTATCTCTCAGCAAGCCTAGAATATTGCCCTTCCCTAACAGTCAGGCCCAAGCCCAAGCCCACCAGATACCCTCTTCATGATGTTCAATCAAAGGACCATTTTTTTTGGCTGGCTTTTACAAATGATATATTTTACTTGATATTATGGTATATCATAGAGGATAAAGACAAAGGATTCACTTTCCCTATTTATCATTTTGTATATATTTTAGACTTTTCTTTATCTTTCTTTCATTCATCTGTTTCTTTTTTCTTCTCTTGGCTTGAAAGAATTATGAATGATCCTTTTTGTCGATAGGTTAGAATGCACCAAACTTTTTGGTGGTGAAATTGTGAAATGAATTTTTTTTTTGTTCAGTCTTTGTCTTGGTTCGATTATGTTCCTTTGCCATCATGACGAAGAGCCTACTTTTTAATGACCTTTCTACCCTTAACGTACCCTACTTGCTATTATGTACTTGTAATTTTGCAGTAGGGTCAGTGCTATTCTTGGTCCCTTGAGCTTTTCAAAATTAAGTACTTCCATATTAATAATAATAATAACTGGAACATATAATGACTCTGTTTATGTTATGGGAAGGTTAAAATCTTTGTCACCTTTGTTGTATTAATCACTCTATGGAATGATGTGTACTTTAAAGCACAATAGCATTAATTCAAAAATATCATGACTATTGAGGAAATATTTTTCTCCATATATGGTTTCTATGTATAAAAAAATAGTTAATAAAGTTATTAAAGATTAAAATAAAATCTAAGTTAAAATTTTAGTTATTACTTTTGAAGACTAATCTAATGACTAATTCTTAAATTTATTGAATTATATATATATATGTATATATATATATATATATATATATATATATATATATATATATTTGTTTCAACATAAAATTTTGTTTAATGAACTTTTTGTGTGGCTTATGAAGAATGGTTGAAAGGATTTACTTATTTGAATGTTTAAGGATCCATCTATGGCAATGTATATATATATTATTGATATTATTGATAAGATTAAACGGCAAATTTCTTTATGATTTTTGTGTTAATTGGGTTGTTTTAATTAATGGAAGAGTTAAAAAAAAATCAATTGCATGAAGAGATTTATTAAAATTATTAATGTGATCATTTAGAATTATATAATAATTAATTGCATGCATGTGCAACAAATAGTCTTTAGGTTTTTTACACAAGGGATGGATCTCTATATAACTCTTATGTTGTTCATAGTGTTTATTTTTTAAAACATTTTAATATTAAAGTCAGGTTAAAATAGTTTCAAAAGTTTTAAGATTTCGAATTAATTCAAACACAAATCCTTTGGTGCAAAAGAAGGTTGTTTAATATACTCTTTCTTTTTATACATATTTTACAACTCTTTTTACATTAGAATTTATGAAAAAATATAAAATAAAAGAAATCATTAAATATAATGTGAGATCCTTAAAACCTATAAAAATTTTAATCAATTATTAAATACTTTGTGTTTCAAAATAATATAATATGTAATCCTCTATTTTAAAATTTTTAATATTTTACCCTCTCAATTTTGTTTCTTAATTATTAAGTCTCATTTTTTTTTTAAGTATAACCCTACCTATAAGCAGCACCGATTATTTTTCTTGTATTGTATATATAATGAACTAATAATTAAGTTTATAGATATTAAATGAGGATATTTTACATTAAATATATTATTTTTAAAAGGCTCATTGATTTCATTATTATTCTTACAACAAAAAGGGTATGTTGTTTACTATTGAGCAATGGTGATGATGCACATATTGTGAATGGATGTGGAAACCTATATGAATGTGGGGCATGACAGTGAAAAAGGGTAGTTAGAAAAAACACAATGATGAGTTTAGATTGAATCTTAAACATAAATGTATGTTTGATGATTGTAGTTAGGTGGGTGTAGAGAAGAATTCATTTGCAATCATCACGCCTTACAAAAGCACCAGCAGCAAAACTCATGGACCAGGGTTCATTTTAGAAACCACTCAACACTCTTGCTTCTTTGTCTCAATAGTTATACATCATGCATTCAAACATTTCATTATTCAACCAATTTCCAACTACATTCCAAAGTTTCAATCTTTTTTCACATTGAGTGAGGTAACATTACCTTGTACAAATACACAATTTGTACTAAACGACCATGTCTAAGGATGTAACATGCTTCATTTATTGGATGGGATGAATGGAAGTTTCTTTTTTTAATAATATTGAAGTGTTATTAAAAATAAATTATAATATTGTATATAAATTTGAAAAATTTGCACGTGAAATATTAAAAAAAAATCTGAAGTAGATCTTTGTGCAGGCCTATAAGCACAAGGATCTCAGCTACATGTTAGCTAAGATTCACCCTCTTCTGCTACGACCTGTCCTAGACTACCCTAATATCCACCTATGTTTTTTTTTTTTAATTTAATTATTGTGCTGATCATGTTCTTCTTTTTCTATGTTTTTAACATCTATAATAATAAAAAAAATATTTAACTGAGATTAGGCATCTCAACTATGAAAGATTTAAGATTGGGGGTTCTTATACAAAAATATTTTCTAAACAAGTTATAAGTTCTTTGTAATTTTGGTTAGTTTTGATTGTGATAATTTTTAAAAACACTAATCTAAATATGATTTTAAAATATTTATCATAAAATTAAAAGATTAAAATAAGAAAAATTCTCCCAATCATATTTCTATTAACCATTCCTAATTGGGCCCGGAGATCAGAAGAGCAGTCTCAGCCCATCCATAAGAGACTACCACAATATTAAAACTTTAATCCAAACCCAAGTCCAGCCCAACTTTCAATTGATTATTTAAATTTTCTCTTTACTTTGTTCATTCGTCAAGATTATCATCTACCATTCTCTCCAAATCAAACTTGTTCACCTCAATCTTTTCTTAATCCAAAGGATGAAGCATAATCACTCTATCTTAAGGATAATTAAGATTCATTTATATACTTTTAAAACTTTTTTTCTTCATTTTTTTACATCATAACATATATATATTTCATAAATCAACAAATAATTTGATGTATATTTGTTATTAGAAAATTATCTGATGAAATGTTACGATAAATTTTAAATCTTTACACCGATAATGTAATATTCAATGATATATATTATTTCCTTTTATCAATTAAATTGTCCATCAATGATGATATAGCATATTATCAGCGTAAATGAAATAATTATAATAACAATTTATTTATCCTAGATAAATTTAATATTAATAATAATAAGTCCAATTATTAATTTAAAATACATTATTTTAATTTATGCATAAGTTTGTAAAATTTTCTTTTATAAAAGTTTTCTTTAAAAAAAATTATTTTCTTCATAAACTACTTCAAGTTATGTATTAATTAACATACTTTTACAAGCACAAATCCACTCTCATTTATTTTAACATGCAATATATTTCATGTTTACCAGTGTGAGCTGTGCATGAAACCTAAATTTCAGACTATATATATATATATATATATATATATATATATATATATATATATGACAGTGTGTATAGACCGACAGAGACAGATGATTTGCAATAGTCAAAGACTTCACGTGACTATGCAGAAAAAGTTTCCCATCCATTTGAATTCTTTATGAACAAAGAAGAATCAAAGAATCATCATTTCTGGCTACAACATATCCCGACAAAAATCAAATTATTGTTTTTCAACATAAAAACAATTACCACTAAACCAAAGAAATGAAAAAACTCTGAAGGAAGAGGAGAAAACCAAACAGTCCAAAGAATATATATTAATTACTTTTCATGTCACCAAACTTAAGATGTATGTCCATGTCCCCTGTTTTTCAAATCATATAAACATTTCTCTTGAGGATTAAAAATAGAAATATAATGACAAACTAATTCATCTGAACAAATTCGTCACATACAACGAAAATTACAATATAACAGAACCTATAGAAACAAAATTTAGAGGGTGGTTTACAAATTAACCACCCGCTATATTCTCTCTTTTCCCATCTCCTAACTAAGTAATTCGTATGAACAAGTTCACTCACTTAGTTTCAGCTTTCAAGGAACTTGTATCCTTTTTCACTGCACATAAACTTGTCTGAACCTTTGTAAAACTAGAAAAACTTGTTCTGTATAGTTTATTCCTTCCCCTATTCTTTTGTGGAAGGGGTAAAAAATAGTATATATATTGCATCTAGTTCTGCTTTCAGCTAAACTCACTCAATATAAGTGATTTGTAGTGTAGTTTTACCTATGGTCTCTTCTTCTGATGCTGATTTTGATACTGTCTCAAAAGAAGCTCAGCATAAAGGATCTCATTCCATGCATCAGGAACTCCAGGGAGACACCAGTGACTGCAGTCTTGGAAACTCAATGGTGATTTCCTCTCCTCTGGTGATAGATTTTGCTTCCTATAAATAGAGGGATGGCCATCCTTCCTGAAATCTGTCATTTTAGTGACATTTAGGTAGGTGACACGGGTTTTCATATACTTCAAAACCTTTTCCAACACCCTCATCTTAGGAGGGTATTCCTTCAAGTACTTATCATTCTTGATTGGCACAGTTTCACTGTCACATTGTCCACCAGAATTCCACTGCCCTCCGCTGCAGTATGATAAAATTACAAGCAAATGTTTATGTGTCAATCTTCTTGTTCTTTAGTACAATAATGTGCTTAAAGCAAATACAATGTCAAAGTGAATGATATTGAAACTGAATGCCAACTAAGCACCAATTCATGTGTTTGGGTTACGATTTGCAAAATCAAATTTTTGTAAAATGGATTTTAAATTTTTGTAAAATGGATAATTTTATACTAAAAGAAGCTTATCCATTGTAAAAAGTAATATAAAATTACATCTTCCCAAAATCAGTTTTTGACCCAGAATCAATTCTCAGCAAGGCCAAAACATATATGAACATTTAACTAACATTATGTTAACTAGTGTTCATCACGATGTTGGATGATCCAATGTGAATCCAAACACACTACATTGTACCTGAAATGTGAAGCAGAATAGCCTCTGAAGAAAATCATAGACTTGGATGAATCTATGTTGGCATCAATCCATCTACTCCAAGTGGTTATAGCCCTTCGAAATGCCTCCAGAACATTCAGTTCGTTGTAGATATGGCTTCCCTCTTGGTAATAGTCCTTCCTAGAGTATTTCTTGGACAGGTTAGAAAACAAGGTCTTGACTTGTAATCTTACAAAAAAGAATTACGACGAAAAGCCAGAACTGCAACCAAATCTAATAGGAATTGTAATGCATTTACCCTTTTGAAGTTTTATCATGAGTCCACCAGTGACCAGTGTTGAAGATTATTATATCTGCATTTTTATATTGAACAGAAGATTTACCAACTAAATCAAGACGAAGTGTTTCCTTCTTTGTTCCATTCTTTACTTGAATTTCCCATTCTTGAACTAAGAATGGGGATACGAAAAGCTCCGCGGAGAAGTTATAATCCTAGAAAGCAATTAGTATTATAATTAAACAAACACCACGAAAAGAAAAATTGAAAACTATAACATCGAAGAACTTGGTATTTACTTTGAATATGAATGAATAAGAGGCTTCCCCTTTGAAATGGACTCTTCCATTTGCTTCATATACATTGCTTTTGTCTTTCACAGAGTTTCTCAGGATGCAAATGAGAGATTCCCACATATTCCTATTGATAGAATCACCGACAAAAATCAGCCTCTTGCCTCTCAACATATGCAGCATTCGATGTCCATCCAACCTATTAGCCATTACAAGCACAGATTTTATAGCAAATCAACAAACTAGGATCCAAAAACCGAGAGAATGGGTCAATTACAGCAAAATACCAAACAAACATTCCCAGCATAAAACTTAAGTGCAAGTCTCAGATGTTTTTGATGCTCATGTCAAATAATTTAAGTTTTGATTCCAAAACCAGTGTGATCTTAAACACTGACTTTTTATCATGAAAAAGCACAACACCAAAAGCGTTAAGTTTTGTCAAAAAATTAAGCACCGACAGGTTCTTGAACAGAAATTCACCATGTTCCGTTACCTTGGGAGACTGCATCCCTTTGGCTTCCACTTATATTTCTGGTAGTCTGTATCAGGTCTTCCATTTTGGATACAATTGAACTGTTCATCGATCAGATTGCAAGACCCCGGTTCATAGAGAGGATAAGAATCATCCTTAATCCATTCCCCATTAAAAAAATCACACTTGATCAAAGCCTCAATCATTTCGTCCTCCACCTTCGAATCCGTTTCGTTGTTCCCATTCTTCTGTTTCTTCACCAGGGAAGCCGTGTAATTACTATGCACAACACCCTTCTCTGTGTTCCCTCCTTTCCCCGAAGAACTCAAATTCTTAACGGGACTCCCCCCTGAAACCTTGGGCGTAGGAGCAACACCATTAGAAGATTGATTTGCATTCTTTAAAGCTTTAACCTCTCCAGAAACTCGGGTACGATTGGAAACACTAGATGTTTCTTTATTCACAACATGATCATGCGGTTTTGCTGTGTGATTGCTGGGTATCTTGCTTACAGTCGGGGTGGTTTGTGTTTGGTTTTCAAACGGGGTGGTTTTAAAAGGCTTTTTACTTGTTGGAGGAGTTTGAAAAGTGTTGTTGGTAGATCTAGAAGTGGTGGTGTTAAGGTTAGTAGCAATTGAGGAATTGGATGATGATGAAGAAGTGGTGTTGTTGAAGAAGAAAGAGAAAATAGAAGAGAGTTGGGACTTGTAGGCAGTAGTGGAGGAAGTGGAGGAGGCAGAGGAAGAGAATATGTTGGTGAAGAAGGGAGAGGAGGTGTTTGGAGAGGGGCAAAAGGCAAGGAAAACTGTTAAAGCAACAAAGGCAAAAGTGAAAGCATAGGCAAAAGTGAGAGTTTTTCTGGTTTTGGGAATGGAGAAGAAGCTCTTGGGGTCTGAGCTAAGGGTGCCCCCTATGGGAATGTACTTGGTGGCATCAGCCATGAGGGTAAAGGGGTGGTCTTGTTTGAGTCTCTATTTTGGAAGAAGATGATTGAAAAAGAGGGTGAGAGTGGGAGACAGAGAAAGAACATAAGGATGTTGTTGGGGGACTTATACAATGTTGGAAACAGGGATGTTTCAACTTACAAGTGGTGTTGTAACTGTTTGGCCGGTGGTGACTCCATGAAAGAATAGAAAGGAGGTTCAGATCAGGAACAGTGCGTCTAAATAAGAATTTGGTTACTATGAATGAACAAGAGGTAGTAAGTATGTTAGGAGTACTGTAATTTTGTTAGGATTTTAAGTATTGTTTTCAAAAAAAAAATTTATAGATTTTAAAAGATTACATAAAAGTGAATATAAAAATATATAGGTTTAATTGTAATTTTAATCCTCTATTGATTAAATGCGGAATTTTGGTATTTAATTTTTTTTTTTCAATTCTTAACTTAACTATCAGGAACTTTTATTTTTCGAATATCACACAGAGATTAAAAAAAAATACTACAACATTGGTATTTTATTAAAAGCCTCGAAATTGAAGAGAATTTGACAATTAAATATTAAAAATAAAAACACATAAAAAAATTCAAAGACAACAAATTATATATATATATATATATATATATATATATATATATATATATATATATATATATATATTCCTTATGTTTGTATCGTTTTTACTTTTCTATATTTTCACTGAAAAAATATGTAATAAAATTTGATTAATTTTAATTTTTGGAAAAATTATGAGAAACTAACTCTTCTGCTATTAATTCAGAACATATAAATTATATATAATATCTAACTATTAAGATATAATATTATATAATAGGATTTTCAGTTTTAATTGTAATATAAGACTTTAATATATCTTATAAACTATCAGAGTTATAAAAAGAATACTTTTACAAGAAAAAAACTCGTTATAATTATTTATATTATTATTTCTCTATTGATTTGAAGCTGAAAAATATAGTAAATAAATGAATTTATATTGAGTTTATTTTTTTCAGAAATTAAGATCATTATGTACGTATAGACCAAAGATTTCATTTGACTAATGACTTCATCATGGAATTTTTATTTTTGGTAAAAATAATGCTGATATTTTTTTATATATTTAAAGTAAATTTTAATTGTCTCCTAAGTTTTATTAACGTTGAACCCATATACCTTTTTTTTTTTTTTTTAAACTTACATAAAACCTCTATAATTTTGGTATAGACATCTTTGCTACAAGTAAAACACAATTAAAAATGTTTCTCTATTTAATATTTGAAACGACCTTATTTTTATATATTATTTTGATACACCTCTTAATTTTATTTTATTTAAAATTTAAGGTAAAAAATAATTTACATATATTTTTTCTTTTTAATTTATCGAAAATTTCAGTTTAATTGTTAGTTGTAAATAGAGTATAAAATCGTGTTCCAACAAAAGTATAATTTTGTTTCAAAGTCTATTTTATTTTTAAAATTAAACGCAATTATATTTCCAAAAACAAATAATAAATAAGTGTAATAAATATGCGTTATTATTTTTTATTAATTTTGTTTATTTTAATTAATGAAAATATTGTTTTTATAAATTTTAAGATAATTTTGATATAAATTAATAAATTTGTCACATATAATTTACTTATTTTTAGATAGATATATTTTAAAATATAAAAATGTTAAAATAATAAATATTTAATTTAAAAAAGATTAAAAAAATAAAAAGTATACTATTTTTGTTTTATTCTTCATTCGCTAACAATCAAGCATGATAATAACTACTAAGCAGAGTCAACGACAGTGGCGAGGAGAGTCAACAACTATGAAGTATGCGTTTCATATATTCCGTTGTCGGTTACTTTTATTTTATTAAAACATTAATTCTAACAATAAACATAGAGGCATTATTGTAAATTACTTAAAACATAGTAATGTGTTATGTGTCTACCTATTTTTATTATGTCTTCTTATTTTAATTTATTAAAATTTAATATATAATAATTTAAAATATAATTATTTACTTTTAAAATTATGAATGGATAGATATATAAAGTAAACGTGAGATAAAGTTCAAAGAAAAGAAAGAAGTTTTGATATTTTTTATTATTGAGGGAAATACATAATTAAAAAAATTGAAAAAATAAAATATATTATAGGTATATATTATATCTTTTTTTTCGATGGTATAAAAACTAATTAAAGATGTTATAAATGATTATTTCTCTTATATTGTGATTCATAACGTTTTGCATATGGGTCAATAGAGAATATACATTCGTAAGTAAGTTTAAAAGGGAAAATATAAATAAGAAAACTAAAATAATTATTTTATGAATATTTTTTTATAAATAATACTTTTATAAATCAAATTAATTCATAGATAAATTAAAGTGTAAATTGTTTCAAAGTAATCGAAATAATAATAATAATATTTATTAAAATATATTTATGTTAATTTTTTTATATACAAATATTTCATAAAATATCTATGTGATTTAAAATTATAAAGTATCTATTTATTTTTTAAAATTTTAAAATACATTTTAAATTGAATAAAACTAAAAAAATTCACCGGATACAATTTTGGAAATTTCTATTGCTTCAATTACAACATGGCTTGTTTTAGGGCAAAATTTTCTCAATCCACAATTATATCGAAACGACAGCTATTTTTCAGGCTTATATTTAGATTTTATAAAATATTATGTTATAAACTATCAATAGTTTTTAATAACAAACAATTATATGATAGATAAATATTTTGTTTCATATATCCGAGTATGTTTTGGTCTCATCGTAGAGAGAAGATATATATAAACTATTATTGAACTCGACTTATAAACTATACGAGACTTTATGAGTGTATTCAATCTCGTATTCGTTAAGTTAAAAAAAGAAGTTGTATATAAACTTCTTTAATCGACATCATGTACACTATAATAACATCATTATAGTCAATTCTCATATCTCAAATATTATCTCGTTTCAGAATTTTGATAAATTAAGAAAAATAATAATATATATATATATATATATATATATATAAATTATTATTAAACTCGATTTCTAAAATAGAGTGTAGTTCATCGTAACCAAACATATTTTATCAATAATCTTTAATGTTACGTAATTTTTGTCTCGAATCTTTAATATTAGTAATATGTATATTTCTCAAAAAGTAAAATAAGAAATTGAAATGATTGAAGTATATTTTGAAAAAGAAAGTGCAATAATAAGTATCGAAGGATGAATGAAATTGTAGTTAATTATAGATTTTGTTATATAAATTGAGAAAATAGATAGAAAATATTTTTTCATCACTATTATTACATAACAAATAGTTATTATTGATTATTGTGTAATTTTAAGATTCACTAAAAAGAAGAAGGGATAGATGCAATGAAATGGGAGTGTTGATATGGTTTTGTTGTTGGATGAAAATTTTGGCAAACAAGGAATAACAACATTTTTAAGCAAAAGCCAATGTAACATGATCAAATGTTTGAATAAGACATTAACATCATCACCATCATGGAATTGGTTAAAAGCTCATGCATAATATTTGGAGTGGAATAACACATTCAATCATGATAGTCCCACATAGATCCAAAACATGTGAGGAAAACACGTTATTTATATATTGGGCCTAATGGGTTTGACTGAAAAGATTAGTGTGGTGGTGAGAAACCCAGTTTGGTTCACTTTGTTAAGATTGTGGATTGTTGAGGCCACTTAGTAACAGAGAAATTGTTACTTTTGCTAACAAAGTCAAACAATGTGGCTTGGTCTAAACAATGAATATTTGTTCAACAAGGTTCATTCACCAATCACCTTATATGTTCAAACAACTATAATCTATACATAATTTGTTTTTTTTTTAATTCTTTTAAAATATTATAACCATTGGGAATGGTCACGAATGAATTTTAATATATTTAAGAATAGTAAACTCTAGTCAAACTAAAGGATAAAAAGTTAAAATGACTATTTCTACAATCAATTTTACCACATGGGATCCTACTTCAACCCATACAATTTTATTGAATAAATTTAAATTTATATTACATAATTTTATCACTGTGAATTTTTACATTATTCATCAACTTATTATTATATTATTTTGCATTTTTATTTTTCTTTGATTAAATTTCATTATTGTATTAGCAGAACTTATAATTCAATTGTCAAATAAACACAAACTATTAATATTGATTAATTAAAAAAATATATAAGTATCTCATAAATCCAATCCCATTCAGTTCATGCACATATCACTTTAAATTTTAACTTTTATATATAAATAATTTATTCTCCAAAGTTAGCTTGTAGAATGTTATTAATTCAATGAAAATGAATGTAAATTTATATATTTTTTAGAAGAGAAAATTATTTTGCTAGATTAGTAACTCTTGAGGCATAAAATTTATATATTGCTAAATAAAAACAAAAAAGTTTCAAACCTATCAAACAAGTCGCTTTGGCCGAGTGGTTAAGGCGTGTGCCTGCTAAGTACATGGGGTTTCCCCGCGAGAGTTCGAATCTCTCAGGCGACGAAAAGTATTTATTTTAATCTCTACCTCCAAGTTTAATGTTTTTTCTCTTTTGATTTTTTTTTTTCATTTCCCATGCAAATAGTGAATTTTCTCTCTGGACCTGTATATTTAATTTAGTTTAGTAAATGATTAAATGATTTTCTCTCTGGACCTGTATATTTAATTTAGTTCAGTAAATGATTAAATGGAAGAGAATTTTAAAAATATCCTCTGAAATTTTGGCCGTAAATATATAATGTAATTCCCTATCCCTAAATGTCTATGGTGTCTATTATTATTATTATTATTATTATTTGAAGAATAAAGTAACAAACAAATAAATTTATGATAGAGAAGAGACAAGAGAGGAAGAATGGGAAGAAAATGAAAGTTATAATGGTGATGAAGACGCAATTTTTTTTTATAGAAATTAAAATAGAAATAAAAGCTTATTATGAAAGAAAGAATAAGTTTCATTTAATCCGTTAATAAATCCAAGAGAAGAATAAAAATTCTAAGGACCTATTTGTTACCCAATTTCTTTAAAAACTTACATGTCATATTTTACATATTTCAGAAACGAAAATGAGTATTATAAATTTGTTTGTGTCATTAAGATATTTCTTTTATTTTGGTAATTAAAAAAAATCAAGTTTAACATATTGGTTTAACTAAAAGTTGATTATGTTTTAAACATTTTATTTTAATTGACAAAACAACTAAGAAACTAAATGTTTTTATTATACTTTTAAAAGAAAATATTAACTATTTTCATGTTAGAAAATAAATGAACACGCATGTCTCCTTAATTGTACTCATTCTGATCTTTTAATATAACTAACAATTATGAATCAATAAAATAGTTATCTCAACTCGTTTTGTTTAATTTTAAAATGTACCAGATTTATTTTCACAATTTAAACTTTATATTTATAAATGAAAAACACATATTTATAACATAATAGGAACTTTTTTATTACTTTACAAACAATAGAATGAAAACAATAGAATGTTTTACATTTCAGACTTCTTTTAGTGAGAAGTTAGGTATTTATGATCCACTATTTATGCTTCACTTCTCATTTGTAGCCCAATTCAAAATCTATATATCAATTTGAAATCCAAAATATTTCATGCGCAATTTTGATCAATAAATTAGGGCATCTGTTTTCAAACCCTAAACTACAATTTTGCCCTTTAAAAGTTTCGGTATAAATTTAGGAAAGTCAAAATTACAAGGCTTTCTGTAACAATAACACAAGATTCACCAGAGTCAAACTTCTAATAATCATTTAATGGCAGTAGATTTTAAATATGAATTTTGCATTAAAAAATATACACAAGAAGTACATTTTAAAGCTACTCTTCTAAATAGCATCAGAAGTTACACCAAGATACCACACTATATCATAATTTTTGTCTTATGTTTCAAGGAGCACAAAATGAATTATTGGCAAAATTACAAGCTAAAATTAAAGGCAAAAATATGAAACACCCGAATCAGTAAACTAATTCAAATTCCAGATCAGGAGTGAGTTATAATTATGTGTCATGATTAAGCAAGAACGCTCCCAAATACAGCATATACATGTTTGGTTGAAGTCTGAAGTTCTTGGGTGTTAGTTACTCCAAGACCCATTTGAATATCCAATTAAAAAAAACAAAAACTACTATACAGCTTGAAATTAAATAAGATTTACATGCAGCTGGTAATTCAGTGAACACTAAGTATTAGATTGGTAAAATAGGAGCAATTTAGCTCCAGTTGAAATTGTATCTGCTTCATTGTACAACAAAAGTTAAAACAAATGACAAAGGATACCAGTAACAATTACAAACTTTGATGTGTGATGACAAATTACGTTTTCAAATAGAGATACAGCCAGCAAGATCATTCAATTGAACAAGAGACAATTTGCGAAATCATTGCAAAAGACACTTCGTCTTTGCAGTTTTCAATCCAATAATCATTCCTTGCTGAAAAGTGAAAAGAAAACAAAATCCTTTGAAAGTAAAAAAAATAAATAAAAATTCTACAGCACAAATAGTATCTGGAAAACCTCAAATTCCAAAACTAAACATAGCACTTATCCTTTGGAAAATGAGATCCCGCCATCCCCTCTCTGTGTTCTCCACCACAGTTGCATTCCCATATCTGCATTTGCAAGCAACAATATCACCTCAGCCAACTCCAACTGAGCAAAACAAATTACTGACTAAAACCAAAAGAATCAAACACAGACTCACCTGTCTTCTTCAGGCACATCACTATGCGTGAGCTTAACAACTGTGACTCCACTTTCAGGCTCCTCAAACACAATCCTCACCTGCAAAATTCACAACACAATTCAGAAATAAACACTCCATTCAAATTCAAAGAACACAAAACACCAGTCACAGCACTTTCAGCATGTTTAAGTACACAACTTTTAGTTGACTTCCGGACAAGCTTCTATATGACTTATTCACTTGCAAATATAACACATTTGATACTTCTATAAACTCTCTCCAGTTGATAAAACTTACAAAAAGAATCTTATATTTTCTTTCTATAAATCTCATGTTCGAATGTGATCAGAGTTTATCAACTAACCACTTAGTTAAACTCAATATCCAAGAGCTTTGAAGATCTAACATGCTCAATCTTCTCAAAAGAGTAATGATATCTAAATGTCTCTATTACAAACACTTCATTAAAACCTATAATTTTTCTCTATTGCTCTCTTCTTATCTCAAAAGAGTAATGCTATCCAATGTACCTCTATTAAAAACACTTCATTCAAACCCATCATTTTTCTCCATTGGTCTTTTCTTATCAGGCCATATCATCTATCATAATTTTAGTGTCGACACATCATTTTCATGCTTCTCAAGAGAGCTATTTTGCAAGTTTTTTGTCTTTTTTTTTGTAAAATTCAGCGAGACTTTTGAAAGATCTTGTTCAAAGTTTCATGAGAAAGTTCATCAAAATAGAATTGAATTGCAATATATCAACATCACCCTCCAATAACAAATCATTGTATAGATAAAAAATATTGACTTTTAAATTATTCACTTTAAATACCATATCTACACTGATTTCAAATCAATCGCCACTCAATTTGTTGTGAATATAAAAATTATACAAATCTTTAGCCAAATAATGGATAAAAAAAAAAAACTCATTACAATAAGATTTTAATGATTTCCCACTTATATTCTACCTAAGAGACAATCCAATACTAATGTTCATACTCCTCCCAATAGAATTTTGATTCCACGCTATCCGAATGTCTAATCCCTTCCACTAAATCAATCACACCTAGGTTTTAACTATCAAACATAGCTTTAGAATATGTTCTTATTCGTACTATGAAATTCTGATTCCAGAACAATCACATCACACTCCTAAAACCAATCCAAAAAAGGACAGGCCTAACTCAAATAAATTCAGTTGTTTCATAAACCTTACCGTGGATTGAATCCCATCATGCCAGCTCCCAAACCTCCACTTCTGCACGATCAACTTCCCTTCCTGCAACTCCAAATTTCTCCCAGTCACAGACCCATCGAAAATACTAAACTCACCCCCAACCTTCTTGCTAATCTTCGCATTACTATGCGTGAAACCCCTCCATCTATTCTCATCCATCAGAATCTCAAACAAATCCTTCGCCCTACAATTAAACCTCTCGGTCAAACTAATCGTCTTAAAACCCTTCTTCCCTTCACTCTTCTCATTTTTCTTCAACTCATTCTCATTATTACCATTACTATTAATATTACTATTACTGCTTCTATCGCTATTGTTCTTCTGTGACACCACTTTCTTGGCTTCAAGATCATCCTTCACGGGCCCACCCTTCGCCATGCTCTCCACCCAAACCCTAACCTTCTCCAAAATCACCGGTTTCACCTTCTCCACCACCACCTCCTTCAACCTCTTCCCAACCTCTCCACCGTCCTTCACCGTAACCCTAACATCGGGATCCTCGCCGGCGTTCTCGTCGGAGATGTACGGGATCTCGACGGCGCCGTTAACCTTCTGCAGGACCTTCCCGTCGGAGCCACACGCCTCGCCCTCCCACGCTAGCGTGACGGCGATCTCGTACCCGGGAATCACCTTCCCCTTCCGCACGTTAACGTAGGCCTCGCCATCAAGCTTCTCCACCTTCCTGACTGTGACGGAGAGGTCGCCGTGGGTGACGGCGACGTCGGCAAAGAGCGTTCGGAAGAAGGTTCTTGACCATTGGAGACAGTTGGTCTCGGCCCAGTGCCAGTTGTGGACGTTGGTGCCGTCAGGGCGCTCCGTGACGATCCAACGCTTATCGCCCTCGCCGAACTTGGCCATGGAAATGGGATTGAATGCTGAAACAACGGAGTGTTATCGTGTTGAATGGAAGAGAAAGGGTGGTGTTAACAATAGTCCGGTGGTGCTAATAATAAACAACCGTGGTGCTGGGTTTTTGGGTCTAGAGAGTTCGGGGATTCGAAGGATCTAGAATGCAATGTGTTGTGTTCCAGCGAAGTGGGAAAAAGGAAGGAACCAAGAAATGGAAAACCTGAATTGGGTGAGACCGAGGAAGGATCTAGAAGACATAACGGAGAAAGAAGTTTGCAGTTTACTACCACCCAGGTTTACTAATTTTCCTTTTACCAATACTTGTTTTTATGGTCGAAAATAATTATTAATTTGGTGAAACAGAATTTTTTTTTTTTTGAAGAGTTTTGTTTCCTCTTCTAAAACACTAAAATGTTGAAACCTTGCAAAAGTTTAAGAATTAGTGGTGATTAATAATTAAACTATATTAAGATTCACTAATTTTAGATTTAGTTAATATTTCAATCTACTTGATAAAATAATTATATGATATGTTGGTTAGATTTATGAGGGAGATATTATTCTTAGATTACCAGAAACATAAATAGGTGAGAAAAATCTCTTTCTTTTTTTATTTCAAATACCTTATATACTAATCACTAAAATTGGACTCATATAAGTTTATTTCTTATTATTTTACATAATTTAATATTTAATTTTAAAAAATTACTAATGGATCTTTAACTTTCATATATTATAAACCTTTTTAAGGATAAAATATGTTAATGTGAATTTCATAGTTAGAATTACTTTAAAATAAAATGCATTATTTTGAGTAATTGGTATCAACATAATTTTTATAAATAACTCCCACAAGATATGTTTTTAATAAGTTAAATGAGTAAATTAATATAAAATAAAATTTATTTCTTTTATGATTCTAATATATATGTTACAAATATATGTCTTAAATATATTGTATATGAAGTTTATAAAACTTAAAGTTAAATAACAAATGACATGAGCATGAAAATAGTTTTACAGAGTAAAAATTTCAAATTTAAGAATTAAGGAAATTTCTTATAAAATGAGAAACACTCAAAAGTCATTTCAATTTAATTTGATGTAAAATTATTTTTCTATAATTTATAAGATTTATATAAAAAATAAGTGTGGTTTAATTAATAAAAAAAACGGTTCAATTTATATAAAAAAAAACAGTCTGATGTGTATGAACAAATCGGTTTGATTTATATAAGAAATAATATAATTTATATAAAAAACCGGTCCGATTAATATAAAATAAATCGGCTTAATTCACATAAAAATCTGATCCGATTTAGATAAAAAAATCCGATTTATATAAAAAATAGTTCAATTTAAAATCAATCCTAGTTATATAAAAAAGGTATAACTTATATAAAGAAACCATTTTGATTTATATAAAAGAAACTAGTATGGTCTAAATTAAAAACTCAATCTAGTTTAAATAAAAAAAATGTTTCGATATAAATAAAATATGGTATAGTTTTAAAAACCGGTTATTTTAAATAAAAACCTATAATAAAAAAATTCTTCATAATTTGATTATAATTCGAGCATAGATTTAAAAAATTAAGGTTTATCCATAATTGGTCCCTACTTGACAATTAGTAAATACGAGTAGGACAAAATTTATTTAAATAAGTATAATTTATCATTAGATTTTTTTTAATATTGTTTGTTATATATTTAATCTTAGGTAAAATCACAAACTTAGGTTAGATTTTTTATTAGTGTAAAATTATTTTTTTATGAATGTTATTTTGACTTTTTATATTTAATATATATCTAATGTTAGGAAGCGTAAAATTATAATAATTGACGAAATTTACATTAATTATATAAAAATTGATGTATATTTATATTAGACAAAACATAAAATAAATGTAAAATATTAAAAAAAATTAAAATTTACCCGAATCATAATACAATATACATAAATTTACATCAAACATGACTAAATCCGACTTACGTAGGTCAATAGCTGGCATTTGGGAAGCACATTATCTTCAAAACTACGTTTCATCAAAACTACATTAACAATTTGAAAATACTCTTGATAATGTATGTGTTTCATCTGACATGAGGTTCTTTTTTCAATCAATATGATTAAATTTTTAGGTTAAACTTAATATTCTCTGACCTATTTAGAAAGTGTTGATAATGATAATCACTCGCTCACTGACTGAATTTTTTTACCAATTATGATGTATACAATGACTTTGAACTAATTTAAGATTCTTGTAACCTATTTTGTATTTATATTAAAAGTTTTATTATATTTTTTTGGTGCTTTTCTATAAATAAAATTGTTTAAAAAAATTAAATAGTAAAAATAATTCTGTTAATGTTAGATTATAATAAGTTTAGATTTTTGAACATGTTAAACTTTCGGAAGAAACAAAATATCAATTATATAATTAGGGAAATTGTTAACTAAAATATCGATGAATATAAATTTATATTAGGGATTACAATTTGTGTTTACATATTTTTTATTTTAAATTGTATTTTAAATAATTAAAATATAATAGTATTATTTAATGAAATTTACTTAAGTATTATATTATACTATTATAATATAATAGTATAAAAAAATAAAAATAACAAAAGTGAATATTCACTAAAAAAAATATGAAGTCATAGATGAAAAAAAAATCACTTTTAAATTCAAATGTAGTTTAAAGAAAAAGTCACAAACACTTTTCTTATTTCTAAAATCATCTCTTAACTTCGACCTACCAAAAGGAAAAGAAAAAACATTGAAGAAGTTGAGTCATAGAAATGAAAGTTTTAAATCTGTGTAAGGAACGTGACATTGACATGGAAGTGTACAAATCAACATTTGACGTGGTTTGGTGAGAATAACAAATTATAGAGTTATGCATTAAAATAGTAAGAAGCAAAGTACGTACATGGTGGTGGCATATACACAACCTTCAGAAGGTTAAGGTTAGGGCAACACTTGGTTTAAGTTATGGTTTTTTTAGATAATACCCGTTTTTTTTTGGGAAACATATCAACATGACCTTTTTGTTCACACTCTGATTCTTTTGATTTGGAAGGAGTTGGAAGAAAAACGACAAATTTTCTTCTTCTCCTTCCCCTCCCCCTCATTATTTATTTTATGTAATTTTTTCTCCATGATCCTTTAGGCTTGCTCATCAACATTTTTGTCTTCTTGAGATTTCTGGCTTGTTCAAGAACAAGTCAGAGGTAATATCTATTCTGCACATTTATTCTTATCTTTTCTTCTTTGATTTCAATCCCTGTTTGTGTTTTTATGCATGGTTGCTTTTGTAATGTCATAATGACCAAACAAATCGTTATACAATTTTTTCATCTTTATCATTTATTTTCTCAAATCTTCCATTTGAAGGGCTACTATGCCAATTCGTCATATTGGTTATGGTAACATTAAATTGTAGGTGGCACGAATTTGAATTTCAAAAGCAAGCTTTCTTCTTCAACATTATTTATTTTGAATGACTTATTGAGAACAATTGGTTTTGCTAGTCTATCATAAGCTATGTCGTGTTGCGGAGATGCAGAAGAGGATTTTGGCGTTCCACCTGCAAACCAATACAATGCAACACCTGAAAAGGGTAATGCATACGGTGGAGGAGGTAAGAAACTTATTTTCCCCTTATTCTATTCACCATATACATCAGTGTATTTCCTCTTATTGTTTTAACTTTGAAAACAAACTTTTGTGTTTGTTTGAAAGTTGCTTGAGGTTCTTCTCTGCTCTCATATATTGTTATCCATAGTATAATATGTTTTATGATATTTGAAATGGACAACAGTTACATACCTTATTCCTGACAGCATTCGAATTAGAATCTTAACTTCAAAGCTTGTGTTGATCGCATGAGGATTATAAAAAAAAAAAAGATCCTCTTGAAAAAAATATAAAAAAACTTTCTTTGAAGCATTATAATTATAAACTTTGTTGGAAACAAGACAAAATGCAGGGAATGATTTGGTAAAAACTCAAAATTAGAATCAAATATTACATCACCTTTTAGAAATAAATGGATGAGTATATGTTAGGAATGAAAATAAAGAGGATATCTAATATAAGTTTTAGGACTTTCCGTAAAATACATTCAGACACAAACTAGTTATGAATTACCGTATTTTTAAAACATTCTCTAAATTTTCATTGATTCCCATTATCTATATATATTGATGTATGAAAAATTGATTGATTATTTTGCAAATTTTATCTGAAATAAAATGAAATGTCAGTAATTTATTAACCTAATTGAGTGATTATTTACATTATAGAATGTTAGTAACCTCTTTGAATATAGGAGGTGATAGACGAGAGCCAAGGGGCAATATTGTGAAAAGTGGTGCTCCACAAAAAGAATTACCAATTGAGATACCTGCTATTTCATTGGGTGACTTAAATCAGTTAACAGACAACTTTGGTACAAAGGCTTTGATAGGAGAAGGTTCTTATGGAAGGGTTTACTATGCAAAGATGAGTGATGGTATGGATGTTGCAATCAAGAAGCTAGATAATACTTCTTCTCCTGAACCTGACTCTGATTTTGCAGCACAAGTAAGGCTTTGTTATTCACATTTGAAATTTATTGACCGTTGTTTTGATAAATGGTCACAATTTACATCATGTCATTATTGATCATGCAGTTATCAGTTGTTTCAAGATTGAAAAGTGACCATTTTGTGGAGTTGCTGGGATACTGTCTAGAGGCAAATAATAAAATTTTGGTTTATCAATATGCGAGTTTGGGTTCTTTGCACGACATACTACATGGTAGGTCAAATAATATTGATAAATAAGTTTTGTTTTGAGGAAAAGTTCTTATGCTTTAGTTAAACACTCTGATTGTAGGAAGGAAAGGAGTGCAAGGTGCCGAACCTGGTCCAGCTTTAAACTGGAACCAAAGAGTAAAAATTGCATTTGGTGCTGCCAAAGGACTTGAGTTTCTTCATGAAAAGTGTCAACCTCCAATAGTTCATCGTGATGTTAGATCTAGCAATGTCTTACTCTTCAATGATTATGAATCCAAGATTGCAGATTTCAACCTGACAAACCAATCTTCTGACACTGCAGCTCGACTACACTCAACAAGAGTCTTAGGAACATTTGGTTATCATGCTCCAGAGTATGCTTGAACTCCTTAGTCTTTGGTTTGATAAGAGATCTAGTTATGTTAAGTCATGCATGTTTAATGTTTTATGAACATAGGATGATATGCAACTTAGTCTTATTAAAATGAAGTAAACTCGTTTAGTGAAAACCATTTTGTGTTAAAAAATAATTTCATGTTTTTCAAAGTGAATGATTTTCACTTTCACTTTCAGGTATGCAATGACAGGCCAAATAACACAAAAAAGCGATGTTTATAGTTTTGGGGTAGTTCTTTTGGAACTTTTAACAGGAAGAAAGCCTGTTGATCATACAATGCCTAAAGGGCAACAAAGTCTTGTAACTTGGGTATGTCTTAATCATCGTTGTAGAGTTATAGTTTGGATGAATCTTTCCCTAATGGCTATGACTTTGGCTTTTGTTTATATTATTACTTATTCTTATACTAATGTGATTCTTAAAATTACAGGCAACTCCAAGATTGAGCGAAGACAAAGTGAAACAATGTGTGGATCCTAAACTAAACAATGAATACCCACCCAAGGCAATTGCTAAAGTAATTAGCTCTTTTTTCTTCACTTGATCATCATTTTATTAACAACTGGAACATTTTGAAAAAGTGCTTAAGTTGTCTTCAAAATGCATTCAGTATTAAGCATATTACGAGGTTTCTAACCAATATTTTTATGTGGTAATGTAGTTAGCAGCAGTTGCAGCACTTTGTGTACAATATGAAGCTGACTTCAGGCCAAACATGACCATTGTTGTCAAAGCTCTCCAACCACTTCTCAATTCAAAACCAGCTGGCCCTGATCCTAACTCTAACCCTAATCCTAATCCTAATCCTAATGCTTAACATTATAGCCATACCTAATTAAGTATTGGAGACTAATCAGATTTTTGTGCAACTTGATACACAATGAAGTTAATCCTAATCCTCTTTCACTGCTCTAGATGTTGTAATAGAGGTTGTAATAAGGCTAAACCAATATTGGTTTTTTCTTCTTAACCTCTTAATATTGGAAACATATGTATTGTGTGCATCATGCATGAAAGAGACCATAATTTTGCCTTTAAAGAGTCAAAGGTATAAAGATGAACAAATCAAGTTCCTTAGAAAAACTATAAAGAATTCATTTTTATAGTTTTTTAGTTTTGTCATTATTATTATAAAGATGATAACTATATGTAGATTTCAACAATCAAGATTTGATTGATGAAACTAATAAAAGAAATAAAAAATTTATAATCTAAAAATAACTTTTTTTATTATTAGTTTATTTAAAAACTGGTAGAAAATTATTATATCCATCCCTTTTCTTCTTCTGATTATTAAAATATATTACAAAATTGTGTAAAAATATGATTAAAATACGAAATTATTTTATATTTTTTATTTGCTTTTTAAAATATAATTATTAAAAAAAAGGGTAAATTAAGAGAGATGTAAATGAGGATAAATGAAAGTTTCATTAATTATATTCTCTAGATAGAACAGTTATAATGGTATTGGTAATAAAAAATAATATTTTGTCTATATAGTAAAATAATACTTTGAAAGATGTCTAATCGTGCAAAATATAATGTATATGTGATAAAATATATCATGTTTTGAAATGATAATTATTAATTAAATGATTTAATTTATCTTATATATATATATATATATATTTTTTTTTTTTTAATTTGACTGTTATGATTGTATTGTTACATGAAAGCAAATAATATGATAGAATACTGAGATAATACGAGTAATGTAGAATGTGATTGCGAGAAAAAATTGTATATATATTTACTTGATATTTTGCATTATAATCTTATAAGAATATAGATGATTTTGTACTTTAATCCTAAATAACTATTATATATATTATTTTATTCAATTAATACAAGTTTAGTGTATACTGGGATATCAACATTTTTAAGGTGCATAATATTAAAAAAATAATATTTTTTCTTATTATCAATAATTAAATACTCGATAAAAATTAAATATATTGATATATATTTATCTTATCATTTCATTTAGAGTATTTTTTACAAGAATTATTCATAAGAATTTCATGAATTCTAATAAATAAAATATACTATTTTAATATAATCTCATAATCAGAGTTGTTTTAAAATAAGTTAGAGTTACTTTTGAAAAATTTTAAATGATTTTTATAGAGAAATTTACATTAAAATAATATATTTTATTCTTAATTTTTTTTAAACAATTCCTGTTAAAACTATTCTTAGAATATAATACGAAATATATTATTTTTAACTATGATATTAAATGATAACATAAATTTGTTTATAAACAATGAATGAAAATTTAAATGTTTTTACTTGTGATTAAATGATCACATACATTTACTTATAAGCAATGAATAAGAATTTAAGAGTTTTTAAATTTCATTGTTTTAATAAGTAGTAATTGAATATTTATTTATTAATTATTAAATGTAATGGATTATTTTCAAAATTCATCAATATATTTATTATAAAATTTTGAAAAACATCAAATATGAACAGTTAGAAAATTAGGCTATGTAATGACAATATATATTATATTGTCATTCAATTACAAGTGATCATTTATCTTAAATTTTGTTGACTTTTATTTTACCAATAAGATTTATATCAACAATAAATTGCAATTGTCAACAATATACAATATATATTAATATATTAGGTTTGTTTGATAATAGAGAAAACATTCTTACAAAGGTTACGTACATTCAAAGAAATATTGAACATTAATATTTATTAATTTTTTGAAAAAAATAAAATAAAAGAGGAACATATAATGAATCCGTGTTGAGTTTATGTCATGGTACAATTATTAAAAATTAATTGCTAATATTTGATGATAAACAAAATCATCCTTCAGAAAGTTTATACACATTAACATGTAATCTCTTATAAAAAGTTTTACAAAAGAAATTCTGAATCACATGTTTTTTGTGTTTCCATCCCAAAATAATGAACCAAAAATTATCACATTCTGAAAAAGAAAATCATATTCAAAGTTTTGGTGGTTCTGCTAATAGCAGGAAAATAAAATACTAAAAGTTAATTAATTAATTAACAGTGTATTATCTTTTACAATAACCTAAAAATCGAAAATAAAATAGTTTATATATATTTTATTTTCTTTAATTTTTGTAATAAAAATTATTTAAAAATAAATATAAATATTTTATTATAAATTCATAAATAAATTATTTAAAATTTAAAATAATTTTATTTTAATTTTAAACAACTCAGATATAATATTTTCATAAAATATTTATTTTTATTTTAAGCAATTTTTGTTAATAATTTCTATTAAAAATTTCATAACTTCAAATCTGACAATATTTTAAAAATGAAAATTGATTATAATAATATTATTATAATAAATAATATTTTAATAGATAAATAATGTTTTTATTTTTTTTAACTGTTACAATTGTTTTAGGAAAATTTTGAATTTTTTGGAAAAGAAAAAGATGGAAGCTGATAGGATAAAGTATACTGTAAAATAAATAGTTATTAGTGAAGAAAGATGTAACGGAAGACGTTATAAAAATATGTTCTGACCATTTTCAGTGAATTTTCTTTCCCAATGTGCATCATTTAGTGTAAGAGGTTTCCATTTAATACTTTAATGTGTTAATTTAAAAATATAATTAATGCTAAAAATTCATTAATGAATAAAATTAATTGCCATCTAGAAGTAGCTGTAAATTGAACAATGAAAAAACAATAAAATTATATATAAAAAAAATGTAGGTATTAAATAACAAGGAATTGAGAGTCTGTAATGTGTAGAATTTCTATTAAATAAATGGATGAAAATTTTGTGGACCCTATTGAGAATTAAAATCCAATAAAGGCTCTGTGACTTAGAATGTCACATCTCTCTATAAATATTCATTGTACCAACTCCTAAATAAATACTACTTGTTACTTCTTCTTCTTTTTTTATTTTTTTTACTACTACAGATTTTCCCATAAATTGAAAATTTGATCAACTTTATCTACCAAGTTTAATTACTTATCATATATATTTTTTAAATCTAAAAATATATTAAAAGAAAATCAAATAATTAGGATTTCTTATATTTAAAAGTACACCTTACATCTTCACTATGTTCAAATAGAAATGACTTGAAATTCTTTATACAGTGCCTGTTGCAGGTAGCATCAATTGTCCTGTGACGAAGGTCAGGTGGGCCGAGTCACAATTGAATCGTGGCGCTTGGGCTGTTAAAGTAAAAAGAGTTGCGCTCTGACTAATGGCTATAGCTTTTGGCCTAGTGGTAAGCGCTCGATCCTAACAATTGGTATCAGAGCCAAGGTCACGAGTTCGATTCCTGGTGGGCAATTGTTAAGGGGGAGATTGTTGCAGGTTGCACAATTGTCCCGTGGCGCAGGCCAGGTGGGCCAAGTCACAATCGGTGGCGTAGGCTAGATGGGCCAAGTCACAATCCAAGTGGGATTCCTCGTAGGACAATTGCTGAGGGGGAGATTGTTGCAGGTAGCATCAATTGTCCTGTGACGAAGGTCAGGTGGGCCGAGTCACAATTGAATCGTGGCGCTTGGGCTGTTAAAGTAAAAAGAGTTGCGCTCTGACTAATGGCTATAGCTTTTGTTTCTATCTTCTGTTTTGTAGAAGATCCCATGCTCTGTTGTCCCCTTTATGTATCGTAGAAGCCTTTTTGTTGCTGCCCAGTGTGATTCTTTTGGATCCGCCATGAACCTGCTAACCAGACTCACTCCAAACATTAAGTCTGGGCGAGTGACAGTTAGGTACATAAGGCAGCCTACTACTTGTCTAAACTTCATAGCGTCTACTCTTGTACCTTCTTCATCTTTTGACAGATTTGTTCCTGGAACAATTGGGTTTCCTACTGGATTGCATTCTGTCATGTTGAATCGTGTCAGTAGTTTTTTAGCATAGGCTGCGCTGACAAATGAAGATCCCAGTACTATTTTGAATTACTTCTATGCCTAGGAAATGTCTCATCCTCCCCAAATCTGTCATATCGAACTCCGACATCATTGAACCTTTAAATTGCTCACACATTTTTCTATCATTTCCAGTGAAGATCAGATCATCTACGTAAAGACTAACTATTAAAATGTTACCTCCATTTCTTTTTGTAAACAGAGTGTGTTCACTAGGACATTTCTCAAAATTCTCCTTGACAAAGTATGCCTCAATTCTGCTGTACCAAGCTCTTGGAGCTTGTTTAAGCCCGTATAATGCCTTCCTCAATTTGTAGACCTTGTCTTCTTGGCCTTTCTTAACAAAGCCTTCAGGTTGCTGTATGTACACTTCTTCTTTGAGCTCTCCATGAAGAAAGGCACTTTTTACGTCTAATTGGAGTACTTCCCATTTATGGTGAGCTGCTAAGGCTAATAGTATTCGCACTGTGTCAAGCCTTGCTACTGGGGCAAAGATTTCGGTATAATCTACTCCATACTGTTGCGCGTACCCTTTTGCCACCAACCGAGCCTTGTATTTCTCAATATTCCCATGTTCATTGAGCTTGGTTTTAAAGATCCATTTAACTCCAATAGGTGTGACTCCTTTTGGAGCATTAGTGAGAGTCCAAGTTTTGTTCTTTTCAATTGCTTGGATCTCCAATTCCATTGCTTCTCTCCATTTTCTGTCTTGAGATGCTTCCTCGTAGGAGTGAGGGTCACTCTCATTTTCAGCCATCATCAGTGCCATTAGGCAAGCTTCTGCTGCAGAAAAATGTGTATAATCTGCCATCCAAGCTGGTTGTCTCCTCTGCCTTGTTGCCCTCCCTTGAACTAGAGAGTCGTGTTCATCGTGCTCATCGTCATCTACTAGTGGGCTGGTTTCGTGTTCAAGAG